ATTCAATAACGATTATATTTGACTGACCTTTGGGGGCAGATGGTGCAGTTGGCTTTCTTAATGTTCCATCAGCTTTCTCTTGCAGAGTTCCAACCTCACTGCACCATGTTACATTGTTACTCTCCACTTCAGCAAGTTCACCAGCAGGTGGCAGGGACTCTGACTCCCTGCTGAGCTGATCGACTTTATTCTGCACAGGAGTGCTGTGCTCTGAGGAGAAAATCAGAAAGCTTTCAGTAAAACTTAAAAAAATGAATGTTCCATGAATGTTTGTCAGCATTTTAAAGTGCTGTTTGACTGACAAGGAAAGGCCAAAAAAAAAGCCATATATAATTATCCAAAAGATCCAGAAACAGGTGTCATTGATTACATTTTCAGATTTACCTGTAGAGACAGATAGCGAGGTTGCTTTGATTTGATTTCCATTGTCTGCAATCTTTGTGAAACTGATGGTACACTCAGTCCCATGAATCAGTGCCTTAACCGTGACAGTTTCAGCGTTATCAACAGTCAAACTGCCGCTGTTTGTTTCACAGCCTGAGTAATCTAACTGTAGTCTACACCCAGCTACTTTCCCTGGTGGAGGAACATCTGTCATAAGACAAGAAAAGTACATCTCAGTATCTTTACATATCACTGCGTATATATTTATACCATTAGGTCAGTTATTGACAGTCACACTTACGGTCGGACTGTGGTGCTGCTGGAGTGTTCTTTCCTTCCTCACAGCACGGGTCAGGAGAGGGATCTGTTTCTTCATGATGTTCCTTGGTAATTGAGAACATTACAGTATGTTTACATTCTATTTTGAACGAGTCATACTATATTAATAATTGTTGGTTAAATAACCTTAAAGAGGTGGAAAGAGACATTTCTTTGTATCAGATACAGCAGGTTGATGAAAAAGTTCTTTGCACTGAGGTTGGACATTGGCATTATTCATAGGTGATCATTTAATAAAAATCAGAATGGGTGCCGTCATGATCAATCATATTACTTAAAACCACATATCCTGTGACACTCACAGGGGAGGGCAGGAAACTGTATAAATACTTATGCTTCAGACCTATGAGGGGTCAGCTATTCTAACCTTAATTTAACTATTTCACATTTCATTATACTTTTTACCAGTGCTGAAAGAAGTACTCAGTAAATATTAATACAAAAGTGTAGAATTTACCAGTAAGTAAAATAGTGTACAATAGTGTGTACCAGAACACTGTAGCTCTTCACTTTATAGAAAAGTATCTCTCAGTATCTCCACAGCAGGTATATATTTATTACATTAAATCAGTTATTAACAGTCACACTTACGTGCTGGAGTGTTCTTTCCTTCCTCACAGCACGGGTCAGGGAAGGAATCTGATACTCCATAATGTTCCTTCGTAATTGAGAACAATATGTTTAATTTTTGAAATCTAATCAATACATGAATCATGCCATATTCACAATACTTAAATATATGACAATATTTATCTTGTTATTGTATTGTAATTGAATTATTTACCTCCACATCAGGGTTATCCATTGCAGAAACACTCTCAACCATCCCACAAGATTCTTCAAACAGCGTCTCACTGAAAGTGTTGGAAAATAACTGTGTTACAACATCTAATCTAATGTAGATTCTACACCAGGCACATGCAGAGGATGAGAGGGGACGGGGTTCACCCAGTCCTATGAATCAGTCCCTTAACCGTGACAGTTTTGGCGTTATCAACAGTCAAACTGCCGCTGTCTGTTTCACAGGAGTAATCTAACTGTAGTCTACACCCAGCTACTTTCCCTGGTGGAGGAATCTTTACATATCACTGCGTATATATTTATACCATTAGGTCAGTTATTGACAGTCACACTTACGGTCGGACTGTGGTGCTGCTGGAGTGTTCTTTCCTTCCTCACAGCACGGGTCAGGAGAGGGATCTGTTTCTTCATGATGTTCCTTGGTAATTGAGAACATTACAGTATGTTTACATTCTATTTTGAATCAGTCATACTATATTAACAATAGCTTATGCGACATGTATTTGTAATTGTATTGTCATTTAACGGTTTACCTCCTTATCAGTGTACTCCATTTCTGATACACCCTCAGCAATCCCACACTGTCCAGACTATCCAAAGTGTTTACCACTAAAAGTAATAGGAAATAACCAGAGGTGTAAGAAGTAGGCTACTCAGATATTTTACTGAAGTAAAAGTACCATTACTACAATGTAAAAATCCTCTGTAACAAGTAAAAGTCCTTTATTCAAAATGTTACCCTAGTAAAATTACAAAAGACGTCAAAAGATACTTCAATTACAAAACGTGGAAATACTCATTGTCCAGTAAGATCCATTTTCATATTTAAAAATAATTGTATTATAATAAGTAATAATGAATTTATTAATGTCAATTAATATCAATGTTTCACTTGGTAGAGGTTGGGTTCATTTTGTATATCTTGATACTGCTGGGTGCCTATGATATAATGATACATGATGGTTTATTAGTTTATTTTGTATTATTATTCAATGTCTGCAGAGCAGCTAGTAACTAAAACTGTGAAATACATATTGTTGAGTAAAAAGTTAAAAATTGCCTCCAAAATGAAGTGAAGTAAAGTATATAGTTGCACAAAGTGAAATACTCAAGTGAAGTGCAGGTACCTCAAATACATACTCGAGTACAGTACTTGAAAACCATTCAACACAACACCTGAACACCAAAGATCAAACAGCATGTGAACTCTGCAGCCTGATAGATTGCTGAAAATAATGAGTTATGCTTCTGTTTGAGACCATATGAAGCCATCATTTAAAAAGCATTTAAATGAAAGACAAATAAATGCTTTCCTACCTTTTGTAGATGAACCATGGTAACACGTAAATCTAACGTAAAAAGCTTTCATCTGCAGTGTATAGTAGTATAAAGCTCTGCGAGTACACAGCCCTGCCCTTCTCTGCCAATGCAAGTGCCTATGAGAGGTGTCTCCTTTTATACTGCCTTGGGAAGCCACCTTGCATTTTATTTCCTTGAAAAAGAAACGTATTGTTTGGTATCCTCCCTTTCTGAATAATTATTTTCAGTCAACCCACTCTTGGTCATGATTGTGAAAACAGCTTCTCTCTGAAAACAACAAGAGAGCTTTAATCTCAAGATTCAAAATTCAAAGGTTTATTGTCATAACATCATAACAAACTACGGTGTAATTATGTAATGTATGAAAAACTTAGATCACAAGTTCCTCAACAGTGCAATATTTAAGATGTACCATTTTTAAAATAAAAAACAACAATAAAAAAATAAATATAATGCAAGCTCAGGTGTAAAATAGTCTTTTGGCCTGTAGGATGAAACTGTCCCTTAGTCTGGTGGTTTTAGTCCTGATGCTGCGGTACCGCCTGCCAGACGGCAGCAGACAGAACAGTTTGTTGCTGGGGTGATGGGGGTCTTTGATACTCTGTGGCCTTTTTTGACTTTTATAGACTGTACTGCTATTAATATTCCAATAAGATGAAATACCATGTGTCTTAGTACTAGTCTGCTTTCGTTTTTGTTGTGTGCAGACTTTATTGTTGGGTATATCTTACAAAGCCAACCAGCGCCCCTGTAGCAAACGCCTTTCACCCATTATCAGGTATCTGTTATGAGGAACTGACAGCAGTATTAAAATGGGTTTCTGAGAAGGATTCCGTTAACAAATACATATTAACATCAGATGTTCAACAGCGCAAGGAAATTGTTGTCTCCTTCATTACAAAACAATTGGCTTGCACAACACCATCTTACCTAGTTTTTTTAAGTGTGCAAATGAAACATTTTAATTGCAATGTCATTTTCTGTAAAGGTCTTGAAAGAAGTGGACTTCTACTTTGCGTTTGAAAAAAGCAAGTTAATGAACATGATCCTAATTCTGTGACATGGCATTATTAACAGGTGAACGTTTAAGGAAAATAAAAAGGGTGTTGTCATGATCATAACTTGCTTAATCACGACCATATTATGCTTTGAGGAGATCTTGCATAAATTAAAGCTAAGGGGATTTCCAACCTCAGATTAAATAGCATTTATTTCCTGTTGAAACCTGATGTAACCAGTTCTCAGGAACGTTATTCAGAACCATATACTATGTGAAACAACAGGAGAGGGGTGAACACTTTTTAAATGTGCTTTAGACACATTTGAAGTCCCTTCTTTTATGCTACTCCGTTGCACGAGCACAATTACGCAATTTCGTTATTCTTGGTACTTTTCAACCGTTGTAAAAAAGGAATTGGCATTGATAAAGACCAATACATGCTAGAATTATTTTTTTATAACCTTCTCCTCCTCCTTTCTACCCAACTGACTAAGTAACTAGCACTCTTACAACAGGATATTTTCTACTAGATAGGGTGCTTAACCTACTCCTGGGCCTCTCATAACAGTTGAGGGTGAGATACTAGAGCAACCCCTACTAGTGTACTTAGTGTGGGCTGAAATCTCTTTTTTGTGTCTACATATACGCCGGGATCCTGAGTCGAGGCTAATCCTGTTGCTGTGGTCGTGTGTCCTGGATCCTCTATCCTGAGTTCTGGATCTGAGTCCTGGACTTCGAGTCGTGGCTGAACCTGTCTCTGCGGTCCGGCCTGACTCATCATACTACTTCCCTGATGGCTCCCACAGGATTGTTGACATCCTCGTGGATTCATCTTCTTATTATAGACACATGCATTTCCAAACATTTGGTCTTTCCAAACATTTGGTCTGCCTACACTGTAAAATGTATTATCTTTTCAATTTACACACAGCACGAAAAAAGGAACAAACAATAATGTGTCCAAGATCAAGACAAGACCAAGACTTTAAGACAGGGGTGTCCAAACTACGGCCGGGGGCCAAATGCGGCCCGCGGCCCATTTTGAAACGGCCCTCAGCTAATTCCAAAAGTATAATGAAATATAGCCCACAAATGAAAGTTGTGCTTCTAATATATTGTACTTCTTAAATATATATGTACAAATATATTACACAGTATTGATGTGTTAAAAGGCCCACTTAAATAAATAAATTCAGTCAATTAAAGTTGGAAACATTTTCAAACAAATGTTAGTTGATACAAAAAAAGCCAATATAACTGAATTACATAAGAAGCTTGAAATCTATATTTGCTCTTTTTATAAGCAATCTGAAGCTTCTCTTTTAAGGAATGAGCTGCTTACAAAATAAAGTAAACCCTCTGGAGAGCTGTCTAAAGCATTTTCAAGAATCAAGCATAATTGACCTACATTTTATTGATTTAGCTAAATTATAACTTAACTTATGAGGCAATAAAACTCACCCCTAGAGAGTGGCACGGCCCTTTGTATATTTTTCTGTATGTGGCCCTCAGTGAAAAAAGTGTGGACCCCCCCCCCGCTTTAAGAGGTCCAGACCAAGGCCTTTAAAAAGCGGTCTCGAGACAAAGACTGCTCTCAATTACTACAACACTACTGATTCGTCAACATAGGCTTGAAACTGGATTACAAAGCCAAAAAAAAGGAACAAACACTATTTTTTTGTCGATAGACTTTTTCTATTTTCCACTCACAGTGCAGTCATGTTGTTCTCAGGGTTTAGGGGGATGTCCAGGATTTTGGTCCCCGTCTGAACGCTCTCATGACTGGCCGTACCCACCATCTTCCCTGTCACCCTGAGAGGGAGGAAACACAGATCTATCAGCCAAATCTTACAGTTTATTTGCCCACTCCTGTGATAGACTCGTGCTCGGCCCAAGCTGGAACAAAATAATGGTGATTATCTTAAGAAAGACAATCTATTAATCGTGTATGTTATTATTCATTTAATGTCTTCTTAGATGTTCTGTATTTTTTTTTAATAGCTTTTATTTTAGACTTTTGTTCAGACAAAACTTCAATAATAAAAGGGAATTTCTCTCAATTTCTTCTTACATATTCAATCACACATTAAAGATTAAAATAGTTGTATATTCTACAAAAATATCTTAGCTTGAATTAAAGCAGATGCATTAGTGAAATCAGTTAAATCTACTTAAGTGAATGTAAATGAGGTTATGTGGCATGGGCTACATCCATTTGGCTACAACAAGCGGCTTTATATTGCGAAACATGTGCTTTATGTGATTATAAATTCATGAAAAGAACAAACAACACTGTGGTTTTCAAAAATGTCAGCATAAACTTGGACAAACAATAGCTTCATGGCTCTTTTATGTATTCCACATCCTCTATATTAACCTGAAGCTGGTTTAATTGAGAACAACTGCTGCAAGATATGTCCTGGACCAACACTGGAAGCAGCTGGTGGTAAATTACGCAACGGTTAAAGCCACAGTGGTCAGATGACGAGTGTACGGTATGTCGTGTCCCCTGAATATCCATGTATAAAAGATTAACGCGAGGTAAGTCATGAAATAAGATAGAGTTCAATACCTGTGTATTTGATAGAAAGGATGTGGCCTGATCGATCGGTCGTCAGCTGTTCCAACGAAGACCTGAAGGGAGAGCGGCTTCCTCTCAGCGTATCCACACAGCTGTGGGAGACATGGGGAGGAGATCACACTGAGAGGAGGCCCACATGTGTCTTATCAAAACACAACATTCAAACTTAATAACTCAACTTTAATTTGACATAAAACCGTCTAATTCTAAAAGCAACTTGATTATAAAGACACAAGTCTGTGCAACATTTATGAGCAGTATGTTAATTAGGAAGTAGAACTGTCACATCTTGCCGCAGCTGCCTGAAGGCCCTGACGCACCAAGCAGATTTGGCAGTCGGTTAATTTAATTTAACCGACTGCCAAATGCATTTAATGTTTTTGGGATGGCTGGATACAAGCGGCCGAGATGGGTTTTCTCCGCAGGGTGGCGGGCGTCTCCCTTAGGGATAAGGTGAGGAGTTCAGTCATCCAGGAGGGCCTCGGAGTTGAACCGCTCCTCCTTCACGTCGAAAGGAGCCAGTTGAGGTGGTTCGGGCACCTCGTTAGGATGCCACCTGGGCGCCTCCCTAGGGAGGTGTTCCAGGCACGTCTAGCTGGGAAGAGACCAAGGGGTAGACCTAGGACCAGGTGGAGGGATTATATCTCTTCGCTGGCCTGGGAGCGCCTTGGGATCCCCCAGTCAGAGCTGGTTGATGTGGCCAGGGAAAGGAAAGTGTGGGGCTCTCTGCTGGAACTGATATCCCCGCGACCCGACCACGGATAAGCGGGAGAAGATGGATGGATATTAATATTTGTAAAGCGGTCCTAATTTTTTGTTTGAATTGTATCCTGGTTTTAAACGTTGTTAATATGTTTTGGATGCATATTGGTATTTCTTCAGGCTGTTAAATACAATTAGCCTCTGTTGCCACCTGCTGGTGAGTAAATATTAAAATTAGTTAAAATTGACAACCGGTCCGCGATTTTTTTTAATGTATCTGCCGGTCCTTGACACAATAAAGGTTGGGAACCCCTGTTTTAATGCACTGTTGAGGTTTTTCATCTCCAACCT